TAAGGCACCTGTTACTAGTAGCGATGCACTTGTTTCTAATAGCTTTCCTGTTGCTACTAGTAAGGCACCTGTTACTAGTAGCGATGCACTTGTTTCTAATAGCTTTCTTGTTACAATGTGGGAAGTGTCGCACTGATATCATTGTGTCGCTTTGATGGTTTCACAGACCCCAATTCTCATTTGCAATGGTAGCACTGAGGAGAAAGTCATCAACCGCTTCTACGGGTCAACTTGGGAAAACTTGATCAGCATTGGCCGCTTGGATGTGGTTGCATAGTTTGTGCAATGCAATATTCCAAACACCTGAAAAGATGGTTGCTTCTCAACATATTCTTGGCATGCAGATAAGCCCTGACGTTGGAATGAGGAGTGCTACTGCATGCAGCTGTAGTGTGCTACTTTAGAAGCTTAACCAGCCAAGGTGACGGAGAAGCAGAGTGGGATGCGGTCCACGAGTTGGTGTTCAACCATGTCAACCCCACAAGCGACAGGCACAACATATTCATATGTTTTGACCTTGTGCTACTGGCCTTAATTACAAGCTCACCCACAGAACCAGGTCAACCATGTCAACCCCCAAAGCAACTCTTATAGACTCTCGCAAAATTTTGCACTCTACTGCTATCTTTTGGTTCTTTTTTTGGGTGGATTCTTTGGAGGCCAGAACAGGAGCTACACCTCAAGACTGTCAAGTTGTTGGAGGACACTGGGCCAGACTGTGCCAACTGCCTACTGTGGATTCAAGCCCAACTTTATTGTCGTTCTTTCAACTGCCGAAATTCGTCCAAATCCACGATCCATTGTGGAACAATTGTATCATGCCTCGTCTCTTGTTCATTGTTGAATTTCTGAAGGCTGTTTATGGACCGGGCGGCAATTTCGATCCAGACTTCACGCAGGAGCCCACCTGCTCTTTGCTCCATGCACAGTTGCAGGCTCGGGGGGTCTGCAGACGTTTGCCTAAGTGATCGCCTATAGTGCTAGAGTCAAACACTCCAACAATGCTAGAATCAAATAGCCTTTCCATGCGTTTCCTACCAGTAGCTACTAATTAATTACTAGTGAGACCTATTGAATCCGCCAACAGTTGCTCCTAAACACCGGCCCGCGTTCGGGACTCCCCCCTGGCTGGAACAATACTCAAATGGCAGGTGATCCACGCCTGGCTTCCATCAATTGTGAGCCGGGAAGAGGATCTCAACACCCGCTTGCCCGAGAATGAAGAAGAAATTCTAGTGTCATCCTTAGGCGCACATGCAGTCAGTTTCAGTCGCTGTGCGGTGCAATCAACACTGTTTGCTTCAGTGACTTGCACAGCATGGACCTCGAATGACATCATCGTCTAGAGTCTTGAGGTCAATCTTTCAGAAAGCCTATTGAACTTGTTGGCAGCCAGTCCCAACGTTTTCACCGACGAGTTGGTTCTAGATTGATAGTATGGCGACCTCGCATGTTTTATCGTTTTTTTTAAAATAAACCTTGGGGCTAAAGATTCACTGAATGTCTAGGAAAGCGACTGAACGGATTTTTTTCTTCGCTCAAGATTTCATGCTCACAGCTTTCTCGGTCACATCACTTTTGGATTTCCTAAAGTTGGGTGTGGAGTCCAACTGGTGGGGGTTGAGCTGCCCAGCTCATTGTGGTCCTGCGTCTTGGATCTCACTGGGGCTTGCTCTCCTGTCCGGCCTTGGATTCGGGCTGTTCCTGGGCTTTGGCTTTGCCTGCCTCTTGGCTCTTCGACTGGGGCTACTTCCTTCGGTCCTGCGGCCTGCTCCGGTCTCGCCTGCACCTCGGCATTCTGCCGGGAACCACCCTGGCTCTCGCATCCAGGCCTACTTGTATGAGTGAATCGGTGGTGGAACTGCTTCAGCTTCAGGTCCAGCAACTACTGATTCGGGTGGATATCCTTGAGCGGAAGGTGAACGAGCTTGAGATCCGCGAGAAGAACCACGGCTCAGTTGAGGACTTTGAGTTGGTCTCGGCGGCCCCTGGCCCTAGCACATCAAGGACATCTTCGAACTCGTCGGCCTATAACGCTCTGGCCTTGGAGATTCCTGAGTTGTCTGGCGAGGCTCTTCGCTTGTGTGGCAATCTTAGAGGAGGCAAGCTCTCATTCAAGCAGAGGGCTGAACGAGCGTGGTCAGCTGGGCATTGGGCCCGTTTTGTCTTGGAAGGTCGAATCAGCAAGCCTCGACCTACGACCCCCTGCGACTTGGCAAACTCCACATACGTGGTTGTGCGTGCCGAGGGCATCGCCGAACCGGTGCGTGTGGAAAAGGCTTCCGACTACCGTGCATTGCTTGGGGACTTCAGTGGTTCCGGATTGGTCAGCATCTCCCACGGATTTGCATCAAAGGCCGAAGCCAAGGTCTACTGCTTGGCCCTCAATATCCCTTACCCTGAGAAGCTGTACCAATGGAGTTAGAGGCCATCGCGCCCCTTGTGCACGAGAATGTGGAGCTCTTCCGCATCTTCTGGCCACCAGATCCCAACTTGGTTCAGGCCAGGCCAGGAATTTGCTTGGTTGTCATGGTGAGGCAATCCGCTGGAGGAGGGGTGTTAGTTGCAATGCCAACGGCCTTGGTCCCGGCGGGTTCACTTCCGATCGACCCTTCCGAGACGGATACAGTCGGTCTCAATACCCACTTGGAGTTGCCTGCAGTTCGGATGTCGGGCGACGGTATGGAACAGATTGGTGTGGACATTGGAGTCTACGTGGTGGATCTAGGAGTGGATGCCCTACGTGCTATCACTCCCCTTTCCTTGGTGCCAGAGACAGAAGATCAAGGCCCGATAGGTTTTGGAGAAGACCTGGATATCATCCCCGATCCAACTCTCATTGTGGAGATGGTTCAAGAATGGCTTGCATCCACAGACATCGGGCCGCCTTCTACTCCGCGGAAGAAGGTGCAGAGCAGGAGGAGGTTTTGGCGGCTCATCTTCCGTCCAGACAGGAGCTAGCTCGGGGCATGACTCCGGACTTCCCACGGAAGCCAAAGACCCTCCGAAGAAGAGGCCGCTTTGTCGGAACAGTTGTCCAGCCTCATGGAACTGGTGCCCTCCATGGTGGATCAGATCTCGGAGCTGCAGAAAGGCCAGTCGGCTCTTCAGGACTCTTTGGCTCAGCAGAGGGCTTCGCCCCCTCCTCGGGCCAGCCAGATGCCGGTAGGAAGCACAGTGCAAGGGGTTGCGAATTTTGCAAAGATGATGGGATCGCCTCCGAGGACGAAGGCACTTGTGGCAGCGCCTCCTATCCTTCCTACAGTCACTTCTGGGCTAGATGGAAATGTACCTCCCCAAGCTTTTGCAGAGGAGGCAAGTCCCATGGCTCAGGCCGATCCTTTTGCCCGAGCAATGTTGGAGCAAAGCACGGCCCTGATGACACTTGTGGCCCATATGCAGCAGGGTGGCGATCCACTGTTAGACGGGCAGGGATCCTCCTCCAGCGGATCGTTGGGAACCAGAGGATCGGTTGGAAGAGAAAAGCTGCAGAAGGAATTGGCCTCGAGGTCCGGCAGTTTCTTTCTTGCTGTCCTGCAAAATGCTGCGAAAAGGCCAAGGCCGGCCAGCCCCAAGCCATCTTCGATCGAGGACATTGCCGCCGCGGACTTTTCGATGCTCCAATACCTCGAACGCTTTGGAGAGGTTACGGGCAATACAAAGAACTGGGGCTGATCCAATATGCTCTTGCGCGCATTTGCGATGCTCTTGTCCATTCGGACCTGAACGCTGCCAGAGACTATCTGAGTCTGTTGATGGTCGGAGTGGATCAAGCAAATCTGGACGGCAACAGATGGGAACTGGCATACAGGATGATGCTTCTGGAAGAGCCGCCATCACAGCTCTGGAGCTACAGGAACCACAGCTACGACCCGAGGGCAAAGAGTTTTTCTTCCCTTGCCCCCCAGCAGTGGACCACCGTTGCTTTGGCCTACTCCAAAGAGATGGATTACATCCAAACAAAGAGGGCAGAGGTGGCTCATCCGAAGGCCAGCCACTCCCAGGCCAATCCTCCTCTAGCAGGCCCAAAGAAGAAAGGAAGATTTCCAAAGGCAAAGGCTGCTTCTGCAAATCAAGAGGGCCACACCAGCTAAGCCGCCGGCCCCAAGGCCTTGGAGCTCCCTGTACTCTCCTTGGTGGTCCCTTGCCGACCTCTTCTATGTCAGAGCGGGAAACCGCTTTACACGGTCGGGGACGCCAAGGGAGGGGAAAGGAGCGTGGCGGACCGCTGGCTGCTGGCAATGAGGATGTGGACTATGACTATGAAACGCCGGTGAGCGTTGTTTCAGATTATGATGGCATGCCTTTTGAAGGTGACGGCAGCATGCCAGGTTGTGACCGATGGAGAAAGCTCTCCAGCACTCCTCCACTTGAGGCTTTGAACAAAGATGAAGCTTCGCAAGAGGATGCCGTGAGCATGGAACAATTAGATGCAAAGTCAGGAAAGATTGGGTCTGCTGAATCTTTGCTTTGCCCTACGCCATTTGTTGCATGGGTGCATCAGTGTATTCGTCAGGTGCTTTCTTCCCGCACACGGTTCTCTTACTTCATCATGAGGACCATCTCAGCCAGTCGCAATGGTCGAGACGACAGCATTGCAACCGCCTTGTTCCCAATTCCGACTCCCTTTGAGGATGCCTTTCGGATTGGCCCGGAGCTGAGGAGCCAGAAGAAGAGGAGGAAGCTCGCATTGAGAAAGTTGATGCATTTGATTGTCATGACCCTCAACTATGAGCACTCCCGTAGTCTTATGGCTATCCTTGCTTTACTTCGGAGACGTCCTGGACCTATGCACAAGAGGGTCTTCCAACGTATCAGGACGTTTTGCGAGGCGAGCGGCCCCCCCCTCCTTTCTCTCGATGAGTGGTGGTGGACGAAAACGTTTTCAAGATTGATGGAGCTTGCGGATGTCCTTGACAAGCTGGGGCTGAAGCCGAGCTCCTTATATCATCATGGAGCTGCTGATCTCGAGGTCCCTCAAGACAACAGTGCTTGTGAAGAGCTGCGGCCCTACAGGCCCTTGGATGCTGAGTGGATCAGATTGGTGGGCTCCGGAGACTGGGATTGCACTCCTTTCCTGTCAGACCTTCTCGACATGCCCTTTGCGGAGCCAGAGGTCATCAGGCTTGACATCATCCCGCCAAAAGCATCTTTCCCTGATGTTCGTGAGTGTGATGTCCATCAGACCTTCGAGTTGTGTAAGGTATGGGATGCAAGGGGCCCGCTAAAGTTGATCCAGACTTCACTGGGCCCTACCCCTGATGAACTCTTCCTCCACTCCAAGGTCTTTGGGAACTACAAGAGCCCTGAGGCCTATGACAGTTTTGTCGACGACTTTGGGGAGAAGAAGAGGCAGAGCCGTGAAAAGGCTGGAGACTTCCTGGGTATGCCAAAGCCTGTGCTGGTTGATGCTGTGGATAGCTTGCCAGTTTTTGCTGCTTCTGGCTCCATCTTTCAGGGAGATCATCTTGGAGTTGAAATTTCGCTGTGCCCATGCTATGATGTTAGTGGAGGCAGGGGCTCATCCTGCTTCGAACAGACTCTGTGCAGGTCAGAGCATATTGCACAGCAAGCCCGTGACTGGCCTTGTCATTGATGATTTCTTCAGCCTGTCGGCAGAGCTCGTGAAAGGTGCACGTGGAGACCATTATGAGGGCCCCAACATGTCCAGGACAATCTTTGAGCGTGCCAAAACAGCATATGCTGAGCAGAAGACTCTTGTTTCTGATGACAAAGAAGTTGCTGACTCGTTGAAGTACAAGGTCATCGGGGCCGAAGTTGTGTCTTCTGAGGAGCTCCTGATCCTTGCTTGCTTGGGACCGCTAGCTGCTTCAAACATCGCCGTTCCCTTCTCTGACATGGTCTATGCTTCCGACTCCTCCGCTACCAAGGGGGGGCTTGTTGCTACAGAGGTGGCTCCTGCCATGTCTCGCGTGTTGTGGAGGACAGCAGCAAAGAAGGCCAAGAACCCAATGTTTCCTAGCCGGACAGCTGCTCTGCACAGAATCAAGGATGCCTCCTTCGAAGAAGTTGACGATGGCCATGTTTGGGACGATCCTGAGGAGGAAGTGCCTAGGCCTTTGGGCTTTGATTTCGACTTCGTCAAACTTTGTGGAGGTGCAGGAGTGGTAACAAAAGAGCTGGCCAGGATGAGCTATGCAGTGGGCCCTGTGTTTGACCTGAGCTACTCCAGGCAGTATGACATCACTGACAGGCGGGTCTTTTGCTGGTTGGCCCTTGTGCTACCTTCTCTCCGGCGCCTCATCCCTGTCTTCGAACCTACAAGAAGCCTTTGGGTATAGACAGGAAGCACCCTCGAGTAGTGCATGGCAACAACATGACTTTTTCATGTAGGGGGCTCCTTATGGTTGGCAAGAGGACAAGGACTCCTGGTATGATAATGATGGAAACCCCGAGGAGGTCTAGGTTGAGATGGACACCCCAATGGAGGCAGATGAGGGCTCTTGGAGGTACTTGTAGCTTTTTGTGCTTATGGCTCCGTCCACCCAAAGGAGGGTGCCTTCCTTACAGTGGTGATGTCTGCCCGGTCTTTGGCAAAGAAGTGCTCCAGGGATCATTCGCATCTCAGGATTGAGGGCAAGTTTACAAAACCAAGTGCTACTTACTGCCAAGGCTTGGCTGTGGTTTTGGCAAGGGTTTTTGCTGCCCATGTGTCCGCAGTTCAGGAGTCACTCCCGAGCTATGTTTCCTTTCCTGGACTTGAAGACCAGCTTTCGAACGAGGTCCTCTTTTCATCTGAGTGGAAAGTGATTGCAAGCTGGACCTGGAAGGGGCAATCCCACATCAACATACTTGAGATGGCTACAGCTCTTCGGGCCTATGAGCAGGAGGCCCTCAGGGGTGGAGACTTGCACCCGTGAGTTTCATTGATTCCAACATGGCCTTGTGTGCTTTTACTCGAGGCAGAAGCGCATCTGGAGTTTTGAGGTTGCTTCTCAAGAGGGCAAGTGTGCTTTCCTTGGCCTACGGCCTGTATCAAGCTGGACGATTTGCGCCGACAAGATGGAATTCAGCTGATCAGCCTACAAGGGACACAGTGATCCCTCCTGCACGTCTGGCCTTCTCGAATGGCCTTTTGGAGCATGAACTGAGGTGGATTGCGTCCTGTGGTGGGTTGCGGAGATGGACTTCAATCTGGCTGCGTCTTTGCCTCCTACTAGGCCCTCCCTGGCCTCAGTTCTTCTCTGAGCCTAGCTGCTTGCGAAAGTATTGCCCTTCAGTCTCTTTTGACCCAGGTCTCATCATGGACTTCGATTCGTCTCTTGGATTTCCCGGAGAGGGCCCCTGCCCCCACTGGTTGGTTGGACTCACCTCCCTCCTAACTTTTAGTGGTGTGACCCGGGCAGTAGGTGTGCGCCATGGAGACTCTGAGCGAATGCGCCAGCGAGAAGGGATTGAGCTGCCTGATGGTAGGCGTGTGATGCCTCTTACCACCTCCATCCGAGGTCAACTGGGAGCCGCTTTCAACTGCTGGTTGCGAGAAGAGGGCATGTGCTTTGAAGGGATTTTTCTATCTAGCCCCCCAGATCTTGACAAGATCAACGAGGTCCTCACCAGGTATGGACGACAGTTGTTTGCAAAAGGAAAGCCATACTATCACCTGTCAGAGACCATTAACTTGGTCAGTGCTCGAAGGCCAGTTCTTAGCAGGTCCCTCCAACAAGCTTGGGATCTGTGTGCTATGTGGACAAGCTTTGAACAGGTTGAGCATCATCGGGCGATGCCCGTACAGGTTTTGCTGGCTGTTCTTTCCACATGCCTCGCGTGGGGCTGGACTAGAGAAGCTGCTCTTTTCGCCATGTGCTGGGGAATGCTGCTCAGAAGTGGCGAACTGCTGAATGCCTGCCGACGAGACATTGTTTTCCCGCAGGACGTGAGGTATTCAATCGACCACGTCCTCATCAAGATCCTTGAGCCGAAGACGAGGTTCCGGGCTGCTCGCCATCAGTCGAGTAAACTGGAGCCTCCAGATTTGATTCAGATCGCATGGATTGGACTGGGACGGTTGAAACCTCACGAGAAAGTGTGGCCGGGCTCACCTTCGACTCTGAGGCATCGCCTAGACAAAGTGTTGACTTGGCTCGGCCTGCCGATCAAAGTGGTGAACCAGCAGAAGCCCTTGACACTGGCCTCTTTTTGCCCAGGAGGCGCGACCTACTTGATAGGTCTCACTGAGTCGGCTGAATTGGTCCGGAGACGCGGCCGCTGGTTGTCGTGGAAGGTAATGGACATTTACCTCCAAGAGGTTGCTGCAAGCACATTCATGACGGACATCCCTACAATCCTCACAGCCATGGAAAATTTTGAATCTGTGCTGCAGCTCAGTGTCAAGTTCTTTAATTCAGGTTTTCCCGAGAAAGCTTGGAACCTTCTCTTCAAACAGCATGCTGTCGGTGATTCTTTTGAACAGGCGGGGAGAGTGGGTCAGAAACTTGATGCCTAGAAGGCAGGCCACCTCACACTGTGTCA